GTTGAGTTTGTGTTGTTTGAAAACGGTATTAAAATGTTAAGTAGGTGTGCACGAAGCAGTCAGAGTCCTTCTTTCCTTTTTTGTTTTCTTTTTTTACCTTTTTTGCGTATTTTCATTTGCAGTTTATTCTAGGTCAGTATGTTTGTTTTATTAATATATCATTATTTAGATAATCAAAGACATGATTTTCACAAAACTCACGATAACATCCATACTATCTGGGCGATAGGTGCTCTACCACTGTGCGATTTACCATATGCTTCCTTCCTCGCGCAACTTTTTTTAAGAGACCTGAAAAGTACCCGCAATTTACTTGGTGTTGCAGTATTTCATGGGCGGCGGTAGTCAGTTATATTCAGGTAAGGCGCATGTTCGTTTGCCCGTTCTTTTATAAAAACAAAAACAGATGACTGAACCTCAATTATTGGTTTTTCTGAATACGAATTTAAATACGATAAACATGTAGGGAAGTAATTTTGAAAAAAAAACTTTTCTATTTAATATCTTTACAGCTTACAACATCTGAGGCGTCGTGGGTGGCATCGCTTCTTTGTCTCGGTGCACTTTGGGGAGCTGTTCCGACTGGATTAATATCTGAGCATTTTGGCAAAAAGAAAACTCTACTGTACCTACCACTACCACTGGTGGTCTCATGGATCCTTGTTTCTTCCAGGTATTTATTCATTTTTCATACAATGAGGTAAAAGAGCAAATAGTTCATTTGATATGGCTATCAAACGCTGTAGCCTGTTAACACCTGCATCCATCCTCGATTAAGTATATCCTCGAGAAAAAAATAAAACAAAACAGAAGCTTTTTGGCGTAGTGGTGAAGCGTTTGGTCGTGGCGTTGCAGGTCCGCTTGTTCAAACCCTGCGCGGACAAGTGATTTTATGGCCTACATTTGTAGACCATGCAATTACTTCCGTTACATTTCAAATTATTTGACTGTTCTGGGTCTGATATGTGTTCTTGTGCAATTGATGTATATCCAATGATACAGGAGATAATAATACTGTGGGAATAATGTTTTTTTTAAACTCCAAGATGCGTCGTCACTTCTAGGGAATGAGATGCCAATACTTCAATACCAGTCAAAAGGTCTGCAGGTACCGTTGAATATAGGCCATAGATTGTCTCAGGTCTCGGGGGGGGGGGGGGGGGTAATTACCATAGTTGCCATTGCAACAGCCTTTATATCACCCATGATACATATTCTTACACCGTGACTACACTGTCAAAATAATTCGCTTTTTAGCCTCTTGGCAATGTCGGCTCAACCGGGGAAGGACCACGCTCTCACAGAATACCAGCCTGAAATAGCAGCTTAATACTGCTGTGTTTCGTATAATGAGTGTAGAGAACGGGAGACCCTTTTTACTGGAAACGAGGCACTTCATCTCAGTCCTCACGGGTGACAACGCATCTGCATTTTGATTTTTAATGGAGGATAGATGTAGATGTCTATGGGCCGCAGCAACCACTTACCATCAGTGGACTGTGTGCTCGCTTGTCACCCTATTCTATAAAAAAGTATAAAAAATATAATATCTAATATCAATAGTAATATCTACAGATAAATAAAGAAAAATATGTTTAATAGTTAGAATTTCTTTTTCTTTTCGTACAATGACTTTGCGACGCTACGGTTTCTGGGATTGAATTATCTTTATTATAGAATAATGGTTTGATATACGAGCACACAGTCTCACTCCAGATCATCAAATCAAATTTTTCGATGACATCAAAAATCAACCGACTGAAAAAAGGAAGAGGTTCATAATTTGGCTGTATATTTTTTATGTGTCAAAACTTTTACTCTAGGTAAACCAATTTTGATGATTCTTATTTCAAAGCTAGTGCTTCTCACGTAAAAATTTGACAAAATCTGACTAAAAATTTTTGAGGTATCCTTAATAATGCGTACTTAATTGATTTCGACTACATTGATAATGTTCTTGTTTTGTTTATGCAGAAGTCGGTTGTACAAAAAGGCCATCTGTCAGAAGTGATAAGTGATAAGAGTATTTCTCAAACTCTCATGGGACGAAGTTGTTTGTTCTCTTACACCGTAACCACTAAGTGCCATTAAATTATTCTTAATCGTTGGCTTTTAAATATATGTTTTTAATTCTTCTTATTTTTGTTCTAGTCCAAACGTCTATGGTCTTTACGTTGGAAGATTTGTTGGCGGCGTGGCGGTGGGTGCGTTTAGTGTTGGCATACCACCATACATAGAAGACATCGCCGAAAAGCAATTGCTTCCAACATTGGCCAACTTTTACCACGTTCATTTTGCCTGCGGTGTACTCTTTGGTTATATAGCAGGTAACTTTTTGGTATCTATTAGTAATAAGCTAGTCGTTCTATTCACCGCATGCTAAGAATATCTGCAATCCATAAATCCAGTATAGGCAAAACAACATTTAGGGATAAGTGCTAAGTTCCTTTCTGAAGAGTATAGAAAGATAGTTCAGTTTAGAGTTGTGTGTCACCACTGTGTGCCTTTTTTGTTTTAATTTGTTTGCAGGTGTTCATGGGCTGCAGAATTCACTTAATATTGAGTGGACAATCACCACTTTTGAAAAATACATAATAAAAAATAGGGTAAATTTCATATTACAAGAGCTATATACTAGTTTGATTCCGGTTGACAACACCAATGTAGTTTTAAGTGCTGCTTTAACATCTCTGCAGTTAGTCGTTAAGGGGGACAATTCATCTGCAGTTTGACTCTTAATCGAGGCTAGACGAGGGTAGTCCATCTAATGGTAAGTGGTTGCTGTGGCCCATAGACATATACATCTATCCTCGATTAAGAATTAAAATGCAGTTGCGTTGTCACCCGTGCGGACTAAGAAGACCTCGTTTACAGTAAAAAGGCTCTCCGGTTCTCTACACTCACCATACGAAACACAGCAGCATTAAGCTACTATTTTACGCTGGTATTCTGTGAGAGCGTGGTCTTTCCCCCGCCAAGCCAACTCATTTGTGCTACAACTATTATACTAATATAACTGCACCATGGTTCTACCACGATTTGGTACGCGCCGTTATCGAAGCTCGATCTGGAATACATTATTATTATAATACCGTAAGTTTTTTTTTCAGGTATGGTCCAAAGTACGTCATGGCTGTGCGTCTTATGCATCAGCATACCAGTAGCGTTCTTCATTGCGTTTATTTTTCTCCCTGAATCACCTACTTATCTGGTATCCCAAGGCAAATATAGCGAGGCCAAGGCTGCATTACGATACTTCAGGGGCATCGACAATGATGTAAACTCTGAAATTAAGTTATTAAAAGAATACGTTCTGAACTACCGCAAAACTCGAGTTACTTTCAGGGAACTGTTTACCACTAGGACTTCTGTAAAAGCACTGATCGTGTCATTTGGACTCATGGTTTTCCAGCAGATGAGCGGAATATACCCTGTGCTGTTCTACGCTGAGAATATCTTTAAAACGTTTTCAATATCATTAAATCCACCTGGAGCTGCTATCATCCTGGGCTTCTGTCTAGTATCCTCGACATATTTCTCAACGATGTTACTGAAGACCATTCGAAGAAGAGTTCTGCTTATACTGTCTTTTTTGTTTATGGCTGTGAGTTCGGGCATTTTAGGTATTTACTATCATTTAAAAGCATCCCACTTATCTTCTGATAATACTTGGGTGCCTTTATTTACTCTGTGCACATTTGTAAGTCTATATGCGGCTGGTGTTGGACCAATCCCCTGGCTGATGCTAAGAGAAATATTCCCGTCAAATGTCACAAGACGTGCCACAGCTATAACCGCAGGATTTCACTGGTTTCTCGCTTTCGGTGTAACGAAACTGTACCAGAATTTGGTGGATCTTGTTCGACCGGGATGGACCTTCTGGCACTTTGCGGTGAATTGCATAATAGGAGCTATATTCGTCTATTTCTTCGTGCCGGAAACGAAAGCTAAAACATTGCAAGACATACAAAATGAATTTAATGGGATTCATAAAGGTAAAAAACATCGACACGTTATAGAGTTAGAGAGTATATCGGAAGCTTGACAAGTGGTGGGATTTATGATGGTGGGTGGTTATTTAATAGCTTACTTATAGAGTTAGGTATAGAATCAGTATTTTTATTCTGTCAAAATGGAAAAAATGGCTTCCAGTCGGTTAAGTCAAGTTGTCTGTCTACAATCGTTAAGAGATTTGTTTTCCTTAAGTGATAGAGACCTGTTGCAGCTATATTATGGTTGTAGCACGAATGGGTAAGCTCGAATAATCATTCATCATTAGATGACTGAAAGCAAGCTTTAAGTAACTAAAGTTGAAATATATCAGTCCATTTTTTTAAAGTTTTCTATTAGCGTAGAAAGTTGAATATTGTAGAAAACGTATGTTACCCCACTGCTTTTCCATGCACACAATTTTGGACATTAACAAAGTGTTTATAATAGACTGTTGTTATTAGTTTATTTGTTGTATATTAAATATATTAATTAATTATATTGTATAGTTATTTATTATAAAATTAAAGTGTAGCTAATATAATATAACATGGATATTTTTGACAATAAAATTATGTGAATTTTACGTCTTATAGCATATGAATTACTTTTTTACCTTATCCACTTTAAAGTAAGCTACCAAAATGCGTTATACCTCTTTTAAATAAAGACATAATACATGGAAATAAAGATACCCTCAGTAGAACCAAAGTGACTGACATAACGCAATGGATCAGGTGCGCCCATTATAAAAACTTAACAACCTACTCCAAGATCAAGAACTAACAACCGATGTGGAAGAAAAGTCGAGTCGACGAGGAAGCATCGCGGGAGGCTTATCTTTAGTTATGAACATGCGAGGGGTTGATATGATAATGATGACAAGGGTGACATATAAGAATATTTCTAACATTACTTTTTGAAGTAAATCTTCTTTACGCACGCTTGACTTGGGAAGTAAGCTGGCAAACGTGTGACGAAAGCGTTACGTAAAGTGTCATCGGCCGAGGCGAACGGGAGTTAAGTGGGGGATAAGATATAAGCAAGAGAGAGTAGTGCTCACGCACATTTTCTAGCTCTCTTTCTCTCATAGCCAGTTATGTTTCATATTTTTATTTCATTTTGAACAATTTATGAATTAATATTTTGTTCAATACATTGAATATTCTACGTTTAAAGTGAATAAAATTGTAAAATGTGTAGCTACATTCACACGTGTTTCGTATGATGAGTGTAGAGAATCGAAGACCTTTTTTGCTGGAAACGAGAGATTTCATCTCAGTCCTCACGGGTGATGAATCTGCATTTTGATTATTAACTGATGATAAATTAGATGTCTATGGGCCACAGCATCCACTTATCATCAGGTGGACTATGTGCTCGTTTGTCACCTTGGTCTAAAATAAACCACCTATAATAGGTTAAATTGTAACCTATTATAAAATCAGATAATTATTGCTCTATGTCTGCTTTTTAATAGTATTTTTCACATTTTAATAGTATTCATTTTTTACGTGGTAGTGTAGCTACATTTTGGTTGCGGCACGAATAGATCGGCTCGACCGGGATAGCACTACGCTCTCACAGAATACTAGCGTAAAATAGCAGCATAATGCTATTGATTTTTGTATGGTGAGTGCAGAGAACCGGTGATCCTTTTTACTGGAATCGAGACATTCCATCTTAGTCCTCAGGGGTGACAACGTATTTGCATTTTGTCTATGGGCCACATCATTCACATACCATTAGACTGTATGCTCGATTGTCACATAATGCTATAAAAAAGGAAAACAGAAGAGAAGATGTGCAGCAGCATATTTGGGATAGGGTAAAATTAAAAATCAGCGTGGCACTGTGGTAAATATTTTCCTACGAAGCAATGTATGGGGTGCCCTATTTTCATCAGAAGACTTTTAATAAGGTGTTACTAGGGTGCACTAAAAGTATCGGTAATGGAATATTTCCACTGTTCCTGTCATATTAAAATCTTTTTGATTGAAAACTCCTTGGTTTTAAAAATCGAATACTATTTATTTATTTAAAAAAAGATTCTCGGTCTTGTCACAAGGTTTTGTCAAACTTGTTTAGTCGTTGAGAAAACGTTTTCATTTCGACTCGAGAAAATTCAAGACCGATGATTTATTATGACTTTCGAAGTGGTTTAACACAAAAAAAGTGTGTTGACCGGATGATTTGGTGATGAAGCCCCATCCAAAACCACAATTTATCGCTGGTTTGCTGAATTTCAACATGGACGTGTCAAGCTCAGTGATGATCCCCAAGGTCGTCCAAAAACTGCAGTCACCCAAGAAAACGTTGATGCTGTGCGTAAGCTGATTAAGGAAGATCGACATGTGATATACCGCGAAATTCAGACAACTTTAAATATTGGCATGAGTCAAATACAAATAATCTTGCATGAACAATTATGTGTAAAAAAGTTGTTTTCCCGATGGATACCGCATTCGCTCTGTGAAGAGCAAAAGCGGCTCGCGTTACTTGGTGCGTCAGAAATCTCGAAAGATTCCATACAGAATCCTCAAATACTGTATACAACATCGTATCAGGTGACGAACCCTGGATATGTGCGTACAACCAAAAAAAAACAGTCACGAGTGTGGGTGTTCGAAAATGAGTTAAAGCCAACAAAAATTGTTCGTTCACAGAGTGTTGCAAAAAAAAAAAATGGTGGCCACGTTTGTCTCCAAAACTGCACAAAAATGTTACGACTATTCCTCTTGAGAGACAAAGAACGGTTAATGCAGAATGGTATGCTAGCATTTGTTTGCCCCAGGTCGTTTCTGAACTTCGTAAAGAGAACTGCAACCGCCGCATCATCCTCCATCACGACAATGCGAGTTCTCACACCGCACACAGAACAAAAGAGTTTTTAGAGCAAGAAAACATAGAATTATTAGACGATCCGCCGTACAGCCCCGACCTAAGCCCTAATGATTTCTATACTTTCCCTAAAATAAAGAATAAATTGCGTGGACAGAGATTTTCATCACCTGAAGAAGCTGTGGACGCCTACAAAACGGACATTTTGGAGACCCCATCTTCCGAATGGAATGGGTGCTTCAATGATTGGTTCCATCGTATGGAAAAATGTGTCAAATTTCGTGGAGAATACTTCGAAAAGCAATGAATATATTTTTAAATAATAATGTGTGTGTTCCTTGATTCCCGAAATTTTCAGTGCCGCTAAGAATGAAAAAATTGGTTCGAAATGGTTACATCTATCAGTCACAACACGTTTCACCAATTTTCTCAAGTCTACTACAGTTAACCTACGAGGTGCGATGAGGTAACTACGGGATGAGAATGGTTGAGGATCCCTTATGCTGCTACTACGTACCCAAAGTGCTTTTCCTTCATCAACTGGCTGCCTGAATCCATGAGGTCCCGGGTTCAAAGGGTTAGGTCGAAAAAATCAGTTATTAAGTTTTTCCGTTAAGAAATTCTCAATATCGGAGAAAATTGATGGTATTTTAACCCCGTTCCTCGGAAATCACGGTGGTCCTGCGCTTGATCTTACTCCAGTCGTGTTGGTTTACTGTCCCATCGGACTATGAGAGTGAAAGAATAGAGATTGCACCTGTGCTTGCGCATACACTTGGGCACTATAATCTTGTCCTGCACCGATTTCTAGTCTCCGGCGACCCTGGCCGCCAAGACCGAAGTTAGGTCCGGAAGGATAATATTTTCACTATTATTACTGGTAATTTCTTTTTTTGACTGCCTTTTCAATATAGTGATCGTATGCGCAACTTCTGAAGAAGGACTACGAGTACAATCAGCCATGAAATTTTTCTGTCAAAAAATTTTGATTACAGCCCGATGTTAGGAACATGACGCTGTTTCACCTTGTACCTGAAATAGCACGTTAAGCGATTGATCCTGCGCCTGTATGTGAATGCGGCAATAGAGAGTGCACTAGTGTTTGCTCAAACAGTCTTGCACTGTCATTTGCTTGTCCTGCGCAGATGGGTAGTTTGATCGTCGAATCGTTGGAACTGGCTGCCGTAAAAAAAACTCGGTCTGAAAGATATTTTTATATTTTAAATTACTTACTAAACAATTCCATAAAAGTTAATAAACAATTACTTACTAAACAATTCCATAAAAGTTAAGAAGAAAATATCAAATCATACCTAAAATATGGGCATGACTGCAGAATACAATAGATCCTCCCAATTAACCTAATGAGGCTTTGAATTTCGAATTTCTTAAAAAAGAATCCGCGTTACTTCGCAAAAATTCGTGTAATAAAGATGAGAAAATTCTTTTCTTTCATATACGTACAAAAATACGAATGATTAAACTTTTAAACCGTAAAAACTCACTGAAAAAGTTCTATATATATTATAACTTTTGAAGATAATGGTAGAGCCATGCGGCAGCTTTTGCTGTCTCACGGATGGACCGGCTCAAACCAGGGGGGAACCACTACCTCACACAATACCAGCGTGAAGTATAGAGTTACCCCTGCGTTTTGCTTGGTGAGTGCAGGTGGTGGCCGGAGGCCATATTCATCCCCCTCCCCTTAATATGGTAACGGAATTAAGAGAACAACTACCCCAGGAGGGTACCAGCACCCCTGGTGACGGAGAATCTCTCGCTGAGCATCCACGACCAAGTTATCCTACTCTTCCTGAGTGTGGGTGCTAATACTGCCCAGCGTATTCTGGGGGGTGGGGGGGGGGGGCAATTTAGCTCGCGATAAAAACTGCTGAGGGCAAGCGGAGCAACAAAATCAAGGCGACCCCTACCACACTATCAGCCTTAACGCTGTACGCTACCATCTGGAGACAGTGAAGCCGGCCTTGCTCTTTTTAACCGAGATTCAGGTGTCCTCTCCAGCTGATACTTCATATCTCTCCTACCTGGGGTACAAATTAGAACACTCCTTTATATCCTGGGCTGGAGTTTGCGTAAACGTCAGAGATGACTTCTGTTTTCAACGCCTCGACAGTATTGAAGGTCCTGTCCATCCTATGGCTACCCATAGACAGTGACTACCATCCCCGCGTCTACAGGCCGACTCCTCTACCT